GAGTTATTTTTCAATTCTAGGCTCATTAAGATAATCTGACTACAAAAAAAGCACAAGCACACAGCACAGTTGTTCACATTTAGAAAGGGAACCTTTTGCCTTTGGCATCAAACTTAAGTCCTGCTTTTCTTAAGTAGTAAGGAGGAACTTGCATCTTCCCACTGTCATATACATATATGAATGTTCAGGTAGCTAGAAAGTCTTCCTATGTCTCTCACTGGAGCAGTCTTTTTCTTTCATGGTACTATTTTGTGATGTAAAACTATTTCAGCAATGAGCAGTTTGTATCCTCATAGCACAAAGCTCTAGTATTCATTCTCTGTTGTATACCAGGCACAAACTCAATCCAAGACTGTTTTGAACTTGTACCAACAAATCCTGGAAAAAAAATCCAAAGTATGACATAGTGCAACTGCAAAATTAATCTGCAGTTGAGCATTGCTGAATTTAGTAAGACAATCAACATTATCCTGACTCTCTTTGTTGGCAATCTTCCTCCCATAAATTTTAAAAAAGAACGAAATAACTAAATAGCATTCCTTTCCACCTCTTTCAACTATGAGCCTTCTCCATAACCTTTAATCTCCCTAGCTTTTAATCTTCTTGATTTTCTCCATTTTATGAGTAGTTCAGTCATCCCTCTGAATTTTCCACTCATTTATCTCAAGCCCCAACTGGCCATTGGCTACCTAATCTTTCTCTTGCACATATTCTCAGTGTGTTGGAAGTCAAGGTTCAGAATTAGGTTTTCCTCTAATTTCGATTTTAGAGCCTCAGAATTTTTGAAATCTTTATTTCTTAATTCCTCTCTTCATCCATCAGTTTGCAAAGTTTTAAAACCAAAGGCTGTCATCAACTAACAATGGTTCAATACATCTGATCTTTTCTATTTTGTCAAAGGTTGGTAGTGTCTTACACTAAAACTTTGTTCTTCACCTAGATTTCTCATCAGTTAAAATGAAGTGCCACTAGAAGCATCTAGCTACAAATAGGCAATTGGGCAAAATTTCACAGAGTGGTCTTAACAAGAACAGTTAAAGAACTCTTACCAATGCCAGGTGAAACCACACGCTCATAGTGATAAGGATTAACGCAGACGCTGTCACATTTCAGATCAAATGCATACTGACAATATTTTACATGTTTGAGTTCATTTTTGTGAAGGTCAGGCCATCTCCAGAGCCGAGCGTAAATCACATGTGGAAAACCTTTGCGTCCAGCCACCTGGGAAGAATAATATTCTTTCTTAAAAAAATTCAAAGTGCACAATGGTCTTATAAAATCTATGTAAATGTAAGCATGAGAATTTTGCAAAAAGGTATTACAAAAATGTACATATAAAAGAAACATATCAATATACTAAAGAAGAAACTTCTTGAAGGTGTTAACACCAAGACTTTATAGTCTGCAAGTCCAATTCATTCTTTCCCAAAATTTACAATTCTTAACTGTCAAATTATCTTTCCTCCCTACCCTTTAACTTCAAAGCTGATGATATTATAATTGAAGTGTTAAAACTCATTAAATTTATTTTCCCCTTCTAGATTGGTGTAGAAGTAAAAAGGTGAAGAGAGATACTAAAATGGACACAACCGTCAAAAACACTGGAAAGATAAATCAGTAGAACAAAGAAATACCCTAATTTTGCTTAAACAAAAATAGCAAGATTTTCTTTCAAAGATACCAAGCTTTTAAGGATGCAAATTGCCCTTGAAGAATATAGAGAAAGTAAGGAGGAGCTCAAACAGGGAGTTAGGAGGGCTAAAAGGGGTTATGAAATGTCATTGGCCCGCAGGGTCAAGGAGAATGTCAAGGCATTTTATACTTATATTAGGAGCACTAGCATAGCTAAGGAAAGGAGGCCCACTCAAGGATAAAGGAGGCAAGTTATGGGTGGAGCTAAAGGAAATAGCTGAGATCCTTAATGAATACTTTACGTCAGTATACACCAAAAATAGGGATGAGGGATGCCAAGGTTAGGGAAAGGTGCGTGAATACTCTTGGGCAGGTCAATATAATAAAGGAGAAAGTGTTAGGTGTCTTGAAATACGTTAAGGTAGACATGTCCCTGGTGTCAGATGAGGCTCCAGAGGACTGGAGAATGGCCAATGTTGTTCCTTTGTTTAAGAAAGGAAACAGAAATAATCCAGGTAATTACAGGTCGATGATCCTGACAACAGTGGTGGGGAAACTGAAGAACATGAGACACAGAATTTATTCACATTTGGGAGCAAATAGGCTGGTTAGTGATAGGCAGCATGGGCTTGTGCAGGGAAGGTCATATCTCACCACTTGATTCAGTCTTTTTGAGGAGACAAGAATGATTAATGAGGGAAGGGCAGTGGATGCTGTCTACATGGGCATTAGCAAGGCATTTGATAAGGTACCTCATGGCAGGCTGGTACAAAAGGTAGAGTCTCATGGGATCGGGGTGGGCTGGCTAGATGGGTATAAAACTGGTTTGGTCACAGAAGACAGAGTAGCAGTGGAAGAGTGCTTTTTGGAATGGAGATTAGGAGTTAGTGGTAGTCCACAGGGATCAGCATTGGGACTTTTGTTGTTCGTCATATATACAAATGATCTGGAGGAAAATGTAGATGGTCTGATTAGTAAGTTTGCGGATGACACCAAAATTGGCGGAGTTGAAGATAGTGAGGAGAATTCTCAAAGGACACAGCAGAATATAGAGAGATTGTGGATTTGGGCAGAGAAGCAGCAGATGGAGTTTAATCCAAACAGATGCAAGGTGATTCATTTTGAAGATCAAATTCAGGTGCAAATTATACAATAAATGGCAGAATCCTAAGGAGCACTGACATACAGAGGGGTTGGGTCCACAGATCTCAAAGTGGCAACATAGGTGGTTAAGGTGATAAAGAAGGTATACAGTACGCTTGCCTTCATCAGCTGGAGCATGAAACATAAAAGTTGGCAAGTTACATTACAGCTGTACAAAACTTAAGTTCGGCCACATTTGAAACATTGCTTGCGGTTCTGGTCGCCACACTACCAGAAGGACATTGATGCTTTGGAGAGGGTTTGCCAGGATGTTGCCTGACCTGGAGGGTTTTACCTATGAGGATTGTTTTCACTGGAAAGACAGGAGGCTGAGGGATGACCTGATAGGTCTACAAAATTATGAGAGACTGAGATAGGGTGGACAGTCAGAGGCTTTATCCCAGGGTGAAAAAGTCAACTACAAGAGGACAGGGTGAGAGGTGGAATGTTTAGGGGAGAAGTGCAAAGAACACTTTTCACACAGAGAGTGGTGGGTGCCTGGAATACAATGCTAGTGGAGATGGTGGAAGTAGGCACGTTAGCAATGTTTAAGGTGCATCTTGATAGACACGTGAACAGGAGGCACAGAGATGGTTAGAAACTGCGCATGGGCAATAAGTAGCGGGTCTAAATAAGGATTAGAATCGGCACAGGCTTGTTGGGCCACAGGGATTGTTTCTGTGCTGTATTGAATTGCATTATATTGTTGTTGTATATAACGTACTCCCCTCTCACACAGTGTAAGTGTTGTTTTTTGCCTTGAATTTTTATTCTTGTCACATCTCCATGTAAGTACAAGACAAAAAACCGACAAAAATGTACCTTTTCTCAGCAATACTCAAATCCAGATACTCTTACTGCTGAGATTCTGTCTGTTAATGTAATGTCTAGCTCCTCACACTAACCACGTGAAGCCTCTTTCTCTTGACTGGTCACGGACCATGACGACTGGATTTTTCACTTCCTATCATATGCTCCTCTCCAGCTTTGAGCAGAAGTCCCAAACTCTGGCACTAGGTAGGCACCACAGCCTGCTGTACTCGCACTCTTGGCTGCAAAGAACAGTGGTAACCACTGACATTACACTGTCTTTCTACCGCTCCATTTCTTTTTGCTCCCCTGACTTGACTGGCTTCCTGTACCATGGTACATTAGTCAGTTAGCTCATTCACCCTGCTCTCTTATCCTCACTCTCATCCAATAAGACGGACAATTGCAATACCAGGAATGGATACCCCCGCAGCTTCATCCAGAAGTGCTTAGCCATGAGACAACACAACCAGGACACATCAAAACTCGAAACAATAACCACACCATGTATAATAAAACACCACAGAACTGACAGCCAGACTACTCAAGAACCATGACAGCACATAAACCGCCAGCCACACTTAGACAGCAACTGACCAGGGTTAAAGACCCAATAGATACCATGGACAGGACGAATGTAGTTTACAAAATACCTCGCGGAGACTGCGCAAAACACTACGTGGAACAAACACGCAGACAACTAGCAACCTGCATCTAAGAACACCAGCTAGCAAGTAGATGTCCTTGGTTTCAGTATACACAGACAAGAAAAACCAAACTTTCAACTGGGACAACACTATAATCATTGGGCAAGCCAAACAGAGGACAGCCAGGAAATTCTTGGAGGCTTGGCATTCATCCATGGACTCCATCAACAAACACATTGAATTAGATGCAATATACCGACTATTACAAAGCACAGCCAGAACTGGCACCTAACCAAACCATATACGTTCAAACCATATAAATTGACTCTCCTGTCAGGATACGACAGGCAATTCTGTAGCCGTGAGCACGAATTCAGGATAGTATGTTGCCTCCCTGGCACCAGGGTCAAGAAACAATCTCTGGATTATTCATGGTGCCAACTTCTAGAGAGAGTAGGAATAAATCAATAGTTGAGGAGTTGGTGCAGTGGGCAAGGATTTAGGTTTTTGGATCTTTGGGATCTCTTCTGGGGCAGAAAAGGGACAGGTTTCACTTGAACTGGAAGGGAACCAATATCCTGGCAGAGAGATTTGCTAGTGCTATTCGGGAGCCTTTAAACTAGAAGCGGGGAGGGGTTGGGGGGGGGGGGGGGGGTGCGGGGGAGCATGGGATTCTAAGTAGTAGTGAGAATAGATAGATGAGGATGGTTCTGAATTACAATAAAGCAAGTTAATTAGAAAAGGCAGGCAAGAACAAGTCAGAGAACAAAGTAAATCTGAAGAATTAAACTGCATTTATTTCAATGCAAAGGGTCTTACAGCTAAGGCTGATGAACTCAAGGCCTGTATGACAGCATGGAACTGGGACTTCGTAGCTATTACAGAAACTTTGCTGAGGGAGGAATAGGACTGGCAGTTCAATGTTCTGGGTAATAGACTCTATAGGAATGATAGAAAGGGTAGAAAGGGAAGCAAGACAGGAGGCAGAGTGGTGTTTTTGCTTAAGGAAAACATTAACTTAATATATTTAAAGAGGACATTTCTGAGGGACTATCCAGTGAAATTATATGGGTGGAACTCTGAAATAGGAAGGGGATGATTACCTTGGTGGGATTGTACAATTGCTCCCCCTCCCCCTGATAGTCAGAGGGAAAGTGAGGAGCAAATATGTAGAGATCTCTCAGGTATATCTAAGAATAACAGGGCTGTAATAGTAGGGCGTTGCAAAGTTGGGTATAGTATTTGTGGATTGAAAGGCGGTATAGAATTTGATTGTAAAATGATATGGGGGTGTGGTCCCTTTAAAATACTTCTTTTTGGAGAGAAAAAATGTCTGCAGGCAGTAGCAGATGCAAAGTGTTCTTGAAATTGAAACATTGTATCAGAAGGCTAATACTGTTAGCAGGCACAGCAGCATTTTTACCAAGACAACAGGTTTTTGAACTTAGCCAATTAATTTAAACAAGACCCTGGATACCAAAACCCAAGTAAATTTCAATGTGATGGTTTTGACAACCTAGGACCAATACTATTGTAAGAAATTAATAAGTCATCAAGGGTATAAAAGAAGAGGGCATTTGAAAATCGGTGAGAGAGTGAACTGCCATGTGAAGAGAAACCTACTGGCTCTCTCAGAAATCTCTAAGTTCTCTGAGTAAGCACCATCTAAATAAAGGAACTATGGCACTCTTAGCTAATATTCTTGACACAAGAATTTGATGGAGAAAGGGGTTCCTGAATGGAAAACAGCAGAGAAGAAAAAGAATATTCCAGAAGATTTACACTGGCTGTAATTTTGAGACACTAAGGTTTAATTTATTTTTTTCGTATTACTTTGGTTTATGTAAGTGGGGCTTACTGGAACAGCATACCATTAGAATTTTGTTTTATTCAGGAATAGTTATTAGTTAAGGGGGGAATTGTTTGGATTGTTAGTAATTCTGTTAATTTGTTCACTGTTAGAGTTTGATAATAAATTGTTACTTGTTG